TGGTTTGGTTTGGTTTGCTTTGGTGTGGTTTGGTTTGGTTTTGTTCGCTTTGGTGTGGTTTGGTTTGGTTTGGTTTGTTTGTTTGGTTTTTGTTTGTTTTTGATTTCCTGCTTGCTTGCTTGCTTGTTTGTTGGCTCATCAGTTTGGCAAAGTACCAAGTGGTTTCTTTGCTGGTTTCTTCATCAGTTTGGCAAAGACCCCAACACTTTGAACTGTTCTGTCCAGTCAACTCCCTTTTGAATGTGACAGTCCTTGTTGTATTGCGCCAAACTTTTGACGCCAACAGAAGTGGCAGATGCTCCCGCTCCCGGGACATGTGATACAGCGGATCCAGGAACAATGGTCCCAGATGGTCCCAGTGGTTCAGTGGCACCCGTTTTTCCTTTTTACTGGGTGGATTCGCAGCCTATTTCGATGCCTTCCTGACTTGCCATCTGGGGCTTCATTTTTGGGGAAGCTCATCTTAGTAGACAGAACGTTCAAACCTTGCTGATGCCTTCTTGCATATTTGTGAGCAGCATGCGTCTTCCCTGAAGGGTCAGGGGTTGCCTTCTGATCCGTTTGGGGAGAACAAAGGGACTGGCTCAAATGAGATGGGGGCCCCCCCACAAGCTTGATTCGCCAAATGACAGGTCCTCACATGTGTCTCGTTTGGTGATTCAGATCGTGATTGCCGGTGTTGGCTGGGCTTCCTTGCTTCAGACGGCTTCTTTCGGTTTACTGTTTGATGAAGGTCCCTTGTCCAAAAATATGTGTTTTTGTTGGTGTGGCTGCCGTTGTTGGTTTAGCTTTCTTATGTCAAGCATCGTATGAGTCGTGGTTAAAACATCACTTCGTGGTTGCCAATGTTGACCCATTGACTCTTGATTCTACTAGCATGGTTAGTAAGGTCTATATAGGCTTTATTATAACCCCAATGGGTAGACCCGCCTGAAATGGCTCTTTGGGGGTTTTGGGTGCTGTTCAACTTGTTTTAGTCCAGGGAGCCTTGCTTTTTTCTGTCCTTGGTGTGAGGGTACCCTTGTATGGAAAGGGGAGTCATGTTGGGGTTCAAGCTCCTATTGTGAGGCAACACAAACTGGGCTTTCAAGTCCTATGGTTGTCAAGGGCCGCCCCCCCAATCCAAATAGTGGCCAATAGCGGCTATCCTGGCCTGGAAGGAGCCAATAGGGCTCCTCTTGGGTGCCAATTTTTGGAGGTCTGACGGTCTGACAGACATACACGAGTTGTTCATGTTGTCCCCATATGAAAGAGCCTGGCGGACCCGAAAAAGTGATCCGCTGCCCCTTCGAATGGGTTGCAACCTCCAAGCACAATCAACCATGGGTTGATTATTCTTGGGATCCCTTTGTCATTGCACGATAAATTGATTTAACATGAAGTGGGCTCCATAAAGGAAGGTCTACCAGTGGTATCGTAGAAGAGGAAATGCAGCTCCAGAACTCTGACTCGCGTGTCTCCAGAAAGTCGGGAGATCAAGGGTTCAAATCTGGCTCAACACGAGCGTAACGCTCCAGACGAACATGGGCCCTTGCAAAACACACCAAGTGTTTAGAGGGATCTCCTTGTGGGGCAGCCACAGGGTTTCTTGGGCAAGCCATTGGGAATTTGCCTCGAGCCTTAAGCGGCTTAAGCCTTACAGCTTTACCCCGAGGCAATACCGCGGCACCCAGCAGCTCTTGGCGGAGCTGGTGGCGAAGCATTTCCCCACGCTCCGGCCGGGCCCTGGAAAGGGCGGAACCGAAACGCCCCAAGGGGGTCCGTGAGGCTCCCTATGGAACCCGAAGAAACCCAAGGGCTACCCACCCTTGTACCCCCTAGATTACTTTAGGTTTGCTCATGGGCCAATGGGATTTTAGGCCCCACAGTTTGAGCATCATAAGTCACCCCTAAGTTGTAGGTTAAAGGCACAAAGCGCACCAGTCGGGATAGATGCACCTCGATTTGAATACAGTTTGAATGGATGCTAAGCAGTCACGTTTGGGACAGTTTTGTTGGGTCCATTAAATTGGCTGGCATTTGGAGAGGGTTCGGACCCATTACACCATTTAGAAAGAAATGTTTCACAGTTATTGAAGCAGGAATCCTTTGCATCATCGCGCCCCTTTCATGTCGGGGGTTGATCAGAAGATCCGGAGATTTCTGTCAGGTTCGCACAATGAAAGAATGGAACCCCCCCCTGCCTGGAGGCCAGTTGAGGTTTGTTGGAAACACAAGTTCATTAAAAATGGTCCGAACAGAAACCGAACGAGAGGGACCTCGGCAATTCTTAACCGCGCGGAACTTTGCCCAGTTGCAACCTGTGGATTCCACACTATGTTCCAGGGTTTGCCTTCAAATGCCAATGAAAGCTCGGGTGGCGATTTGTCTCATGGCAAACCATGCTTCCGAAATCGAGTTGTTCCGAGGCTTCGGAGTGTTTCCAGAGGTTTTTTGAAATCCATTCCCGGTGCTTCCGAGTTTTGTTTTGGAAGTTGCGAGCCCTTTGACTGAGGCCAGTTCAGTTTCATGGTGGCCTCAGCTTCAGCGAGAGGCAGCAGGCGAGTCTGAGTCGCTGACGGGCTGGACTGACGGCTGGCGGTGTTGCTCGTCGGGTCTCTTCCAATAAATATGTTATACTGGTTACACTGTAGTTATACGGTCATATTTTAGGGTAGAGTGAATCTGAACATGTGTTTGTTGTGTATTTATTTGGGCCAAGGCTAAGACCGAGGAGGGCGGTCACACTTCGAAGGACTGTAGCTGACCAGGGGGTTGCTCCTGTATGTAACTTTGCATGTCGTGTGGTGAATCGCTCGCCTAGCTTTGCGGTCAACAACCCTATCATTAGGCGCCCTTGTTTGGTCGCCGCAGCATCAAGAGCAAGCAGTTGTTCACGGCCAATGATAGCAGCAATTAGTTTGCTTGGCTGGCGTTAGCTGACGAACAGTTGTGTCACAGAATGTGAGTCCCTCCAAATAGGAGGTCCATGTTTGGATTGGTGCCTTTGGACACTGGCCACATGCCGAGCGCGTTTTGGACAACTCCAAATGCCGTGATTCGGGTTACAACTTTCGCTGATCAAAGGACCAATTCCTTTTGGGGCCGCTCTTTCAAGGTGCTTGCTTATTCAGGCTGATTCTTTGCGGGGGCTGGAACGCATCCCAACCTGCCTTCGCAAATTGTCTCTTGTTGATTGGGGGGGGGGGCCGACGAGAGGGGAGTCCGTTCCAAAAGATGGTGTCATGTTGAGACACCATCCGCGTCTTCTTTTTGAGGCTAGTGATTCTATCTGGAACGGTCCAACTACTTCACTATGTCATCAGTGAAAGCGGACAGGAGGGCTTTGGACGATAGCACTTTTGTCTACGTCCATGATGTTGAAGAAGTGGTCTGGGAGCAAGCTACAGCTAGGTGAGGTTCGCAACCCTTATACGCCAGGGGGGAAATGTGTAATCATGAGCATGTATTGCTGTTTATCTAAGGAACAGGAACCCAGGATTCAGGAAACCCTGTTTGTGGGAAACATCCCCCTGTCAATCTGCCATGTCCGGGCGCTAATAGCACCCTTGAGTATGTTCTCCCGAAAGCAAAAGGGAAGTATGGAACCCGACTGGGGGGGGTCCTGGGTTGAAAAGAATCCAAAACCAACCCTCTGGCTCTTAGTTGGAGTGTTTGGCTTGGTTCTCAGGGCATGGACTGAAGTGACTGAAGCAAGGATTCCCCTAGGAGACCAAAAAGTTGGATGGCTCAGTTGGGGATCATGTCATTCTTCCCTGCTGAGAATGAGCAAATAAAAGAGAAAGAGAAAGCCCTCGAGACAATATGTCATTCTTCCCTGTTTGACTTGGCGCCCCATGGCGGAAGATGGCACTTGGAATCAGCTTGGAATAGGATTGTATTTGGGATGGTTGATTTCTCGGGGGCCCTAGCGTCTGACGTTTGACCAGAGGCGATCGCAGACTTCTCGGAAAATGCCGATTGCAAAGCCATGATCCTGACCTTAAAGGCGCGGAGCTCCAAAAAGGGGGCCAATGGATGGGTGTCTCACCAGAAAGTGGATAGGATGTTCAAAGGATACGTGGACTTGTTTGTGTGTCTGGTTTCGGAGGAACTCATGTCACAGTGTGCCCATGCTGTGCCCATGCTCCCCCACGGTTCAAAATGTTGAGGTCGCAAAAACATGGTACACAGCATTCCAATGCATTCTGAGATCGCTGCAGTTTCCTTGGGTGACCGATATGAAAAGTGCGCAGAGCGTGCACCTTTCCAAAGCAACAAACCTCACAAAAGCGTTCGAACATGTTGAAATTCTAAACGTCGACCCCCCGAAAGTCAGCAAAGGATTACGTGACAGGATCAAACATGTTTCAGGGTCAGGGAGAAAAGTTCGCAGAGGGTTCGGCATTTCGAGGTCACAAAAACATAGCGCGCGCCATTTCAACGGTCTTTGCTCCAAGACCACTCCGCACCCAATCCGCGCCGGCCAGTTCCACACAGTGAGGCTTCGCGACCTAATCCATGTGAACTCCGAGAAAACATCATCTTGTAAAGCGACGCACCACGGAAGTTCTTATAAACTTCCTTTTGATAGTATCAAGGAACGCAGGGATTTGTCAAACTAAAGCTGTTGTTTGTGAAGGGAAATCAAAAGGACACCCATCACTTGGACAGGGGTCTAATTTCGAGAAGCTCAATCTTTGCTGTGTAAAGAAAAATCACCCAGACTGTATACAGGCCATGACCGCGCCCAGTGCTTCAGGCCACTGACACTCCCCAGAGACGAACCCAACTAATTCGGCCCGTGGAGCCTAAGTCTGGCCCAGACGGGAGTCCAACGCCAGTCGGAAGCTCCAGGCTGTTTAGAAATGGAGAGAAAGCCAGGCGACACATCTCGAATCATGGAGCTTGATGCTTTCAATAAGCAAATTTGCAAATGAAGAAGGGCCCTTTCTAGATTCAGCCACAACCATGGTGAAAACACAAATGCTCCTCGTGTCCATTCGGGTGACCGCATTTTGGGACCATGGCTCAGATCGACCAAAGACATATGGGAAGCGCAGAAAGGGCGAAAACCGATTTGTTTTGTTGATGGACGCGCAGCCGCGCGATGGCCGTTCCCCTCCAGGAATTGGGCGATAGCTCCGTAGGTCATTGTAAGTCAAAATGGGGTTAGCCATTCAGCTCACTCCCAGATCTAAGTAGTCAGTGACCTGGTGTTCGCCTTGAGCGACAGAATCAACTCTGCTTGCTTGAACCAATTTGGCCCAACCCTCACTCAGCGTTCTTTTAGCACCCCAATTCCCTTGGGCAGTCGGAAAGACCGTTGAGAATGGGGGCGGGTACAGCTAGACTGGCATTGTTGGGCCGTTAGTCTGTGACAACCGCATTGGTAGCTATAGCTATGTCAGTGGTTAACCCCCGCTGTAAGTCATTCGTGAAGAACCATTTGAACGCTAGTTCCCAGACCATCCAAGCATTCTGTGGCTTCTTGTGTTCGCTTTGAAGCAGACTTCCTTGTGTTTCCGCTTTTGGCCATCATTTTTCGGTTGCCATACTTGGTGAGTTTCCTTTGAGTCTGTTCTTCCAACGGAATAGGAAACCCTTGGGACCGAATCGAATTGGTTTCCGATTTGGCCCCAAACATGCCACGCGCCTTCGATCCTTTCGGAAGGCCGGGGGTGTGGGGCTGAATCTCACCGCTGCGGGCCACGTGGTGCACTTCGACCGATGTTGGAATCCTGCCAAAGAAGCGCAGGCTGACGGCAGAAAGACGGGAGCCGAAGATTGGGTAGACATCTAACCTGTTTCCTTGTTTCATGTTTGTGTGCGTTGAACACAAGCCCAGCCAGTATTTGCAAAATTGGTTGAAACAAGACCATGGCCACATGTTTGGAGGGAAAACCAAACATTGATTTAACAATACATGGAGGTGTATTGTATTAAAGAAAGAAGAAAAATAAAGAGGTGGCCCCACACTCAGGGCCTCGGGTGGTCGCTCAAAATCCAACCGATTGTTTTGTTTGTGTTTTGTGTGTGTGGTAAGTAGCAAAAACGTAGTTGTTCAATAGTCACTGCGAGTGATGTGTTGCCAGTCAGTTGCTGCATGTGTCATGTCAGTTTCCTTTGAGCCACTTCCCGAAAAAGTGCAACCCCATGGACCGTCGGTCCTACAAGGGTTTCTGGTGCGGCAGGGTTGGTTGAGTTCTCACTCTGTACAAGTCCGAAGAAAAAAAGCACCGTTGATGAATTAGAGCTCTCACTTGCTGAGTTTCTGAGCTTTACGCTTGTTTGGAGCACCATGTTGGTAAAATGATTTTTAGATTTGTTCGGCCAAAACACACGACTCGGGAAGTGAGAAATAGCGCCTTTTCTCCATCATTGTTTGGGGGCCTTGCCAAATATTCAGAGAAGTTAGCATCTCATTGAGGGAACAAGAGGCGAAGGGGGGGCGGGGGGGTGGCAGGTGTTAGGATCCCATAATGCGTTTCCTTGAGGGATCGCGCAGAGCAGATCCAAACGGTCCAACTGCTCGAGGTTTGTTTAAAGAGGCAAGCCTAGCTTGCATGAGGTAGATGGTGCAAGGAGTCCAGAAAATGTGCCACGATCCTTAGTCACCCCAACACCCTGCTGCAGCAAGCGAAGGCGTGCCACGAACTCAACAAACATTAAAACGTTGCCTTGGTTCTCGCGACGTCAACGCCCTGCTGCCTGATACTGTATACATTTGCCCATCCATAACATGCATATTCAGGTCTTGTTTCAGACACCTAGATAGTGTGTATGGTTGTTCAATAATTATTCTGGTCGCCACTCTCTTTGAGTTGCGCAAAAAGAGCCCGTGTATTGTGATAAAGTAGTCAGAGGACTGGGGATCCCACTTTGGCATCGCAGAACAGATGATTTTCCACAACCATGTTAGTGTGCGTGTGTGCGTGTGTTACATCTCTTTAGTTGACAAGTGGAGTGGAATCCGACTTTGGTAAATTCGAGTATTTCTGTGCTGGACAAGAATGTTAGCGCACAGCTTTGAACCTGCCCCGGTGCTCTGCGACTCGAGACCGCGCGAGGCAACAGACCGTGCTCGCCTCAGCCCATTTGGTTGAAATCGAGTCCGTGCTGTGATACCGGCAAGGCAGCTGGGTCTCTTTGATTATATATTAAAGGTTGGCCAAAAATGAAACTGAATTTGGAGTACTAATTGGGTGTGCCCTGGGGTTGGGCCAAGACAAGATCCTGGTTGGTCAGACCTTTTTTTTTTTATGTATTCTGTGAGACGAGCAGTTCCCTTGATTTCAAGCGGAACAACTGCGGAATCCCAGTAGCTGAGCGGCACCAATGTCTTGTTGTTTTGTGTGAGCACTACTGGGGAATGGTGAGGTTTGTCGCAATCTCAGCGGATAGGGGGATGTGAGTCGTGTTGATCGGAGCTTGGCAGAATGTTCAAACGTTTTCCAAACTTCAGGTGCCCACCGAATCGGGCAGCAAAAGACTGTGCAGCTTGGCTGGCATCAAATCACAGAGACCGACCTAATGTTCATACTAATAAGAGGTGGCGTCCAGTTTAATTATTGGCAAATTGGCTCAGTTTAGAAGGACCCCTCGGAGTAGTATGGTCCTCCGGATACATCCGGAGAAAACGAAGTTCTCTTGCATGGTGTCAACCAGTGGCTTGTGCTGGGGGGAGGGGCCGGGATGTATGGTTCATTCCCATTTGTGTCAAAAAACGCTTGGCACCCAGGGCAGTTGAACCGAAGTGCGGGGACGTCCCGGCCATAAAAGGTGCAGCGGCTTTTATTTGCATAGTTTTCAGGATGCGCTCTTTCTAGAGTCTCCTCCAAAACTATTCTTTATAATGTTCTAGGACAGACTAAATATGGAACAGAGTCAGCAAGTACGATATTGTGTGTACCCCAGATGTGGGCCAAGCAAGTCATTGTTGTTGATTCCTTTCCAGAGCATTCCAGAAATGGTTTCTTTCCTTTAGGCGTTCCTTTTTAACCCCTTCCTCAAAGTGTGCTAAGCGTGCTAGTTCAGCAGCCTTTTGTCGACCTACCCCCCAAATGGTCTGTTTTCCAAACGGGTGCGTTCCCAAATAGTGGACCAGCCGCAAAAAGTATGTGTCTTTTGGGTTTCCCTTTGAACACTACCCAAAAGGGGTCCATAAATTTTGGGACACCCAACTGCGTTGTTTTCCTATACAGTACCAAAAGGGGTGTTCGTTTGGACCTAGAACGCTTTGAGTGAGTGGCACGTCGAAACCTTATAAGACGGCGGTCGGGTTTCTTCTCCGAAACCTGGCGATGCCTTTGGGTGAGTCCTTGCGGGTTTCCCGAAACCGTTTCGTTTGTTGTTTTTCTTGGAAGCTCCTTAGCCAGTATCCTTGCGGCCTATAAGAGCGCTTGCCGGAGGTTTGGGTTTGAAGTAACATGCAGATCTCCCGTAGCTTTCCTCTAGGTTCCTGCAAGCTCTAGGCTCTCCAGGCGTCTTGGTCAACCAGTTGTCTTGTTTTTCGCTCGAATCCGATAGGAGTTTTGGTGCTTCCGTCAACCAGCTTTCGTCAGAGCCCAAAAGCTGACTCCAGGTTCTTCGGCTGGTGAGTTTTGCTTTCCCATTTGTGAATTCTGCATTTGATGCATGATGGACACAGTTCGCGATCGGCACCAATTTGGATTTGTGTTTTCTCCCCTGGTGCGAAATGGATTTCGTCCATCCACAGCAATTAGGGGGCTCCACAATTCTGAGGGAATACTCGACCAGACCCTATCCTGAAAGGATGGCTTTTTGCGGTGGGTTAAAAGGCTCAGTGATAGGGTCCCCGGCAATACGAGCGCCACCCTTTTGTCATGTCACGTCAACGAAGGTTCTTGAAGTGAGCTAAGCCTGTGTGTTGCCCATGAGGCTTCTAAAGGCTTGGCATGATGCCACTCCAGTCGCTTGCGGGTGAGGAAGATATCAGTGAAGTCAACTCAAGTTTTTAGGCATCACGAATCATGTGTGTTCGTTCCGTTCCTACGTGCTAAACAGACCCCCTGGTTGATTTATAATGTATGATATACACGACTCTTTTGCCCTGCCATCGGAGTTCCTGTTGCACGTATCGTTGGTTCGTTGGTTCGTTGTGCCCTTTTCCGGCAATCAAAGTGCAACGTGTTGGGAGACTACTTTCAAAGGCTTCAAATGTCCACTTTGTCCAGAGGGCAAACTTTGGGTGGGGATTCTCTCTTTTTTGAGCAGGTGTTTGTTGGTAGGTGTTTCGCCTGAAGTGTCTTTTTGTTTGTCCGGTTAGGCAATTTGCCCTACCGCACCCGCCTCCCATTTGACACCCCTGTTTGGGCAGCTCGTTAGTTGTCTCATGGGTGTTTGGGGTCAGGTTGACTAAATACGGTTGCTGGAATCAGTTTGTTTGTGTACAGAGTCGACCCAAGGTTTGGTACTCCTTCCCAAGTGACGAATTCAGGAAGGCCATCTAGTATCAGAGTGGTTGCAGTGCCCACGCTGTAGCAAGGGCGCCCATTTCTACGCCCAACCCGTGGGTTGAACAGAGTCCGGGGCGCAGGTTTGGTGCACTCGGTGTCGTTCGCTTTCGGCTTCGATTTCATAGGCTGGTGCACCGCTTCACCACGCTGGGGACCTTCGAGGAGCGATTGGCGCTGATCGTCCAGGAGAAGCGCCTCGGCGGGCAGCTCGGGGCTTCGCGGTGGGATCCGAGGTTTCACCCTTTGGCTTTCAAACTCCCGAAGCAAAGGCCATCGTAGGTGGTTCGGTTACTACTAACCTTGAGCAAGCAAAAGCCTGCATGAACCGTGGTAGAACCAACAGTCAACGAGCCTTTGGCTGCTCAATTGGCCCTGGATTGGTGGTTTAGACGTGAGGGGTATCCTGCCATTCAGGTGGAAAACAACTCTCCAAACCACCAATCCAAACCACCAATTAATGTAAACTGATTCAGATGGGTATGTTTCAAAATAGGAGACTCACCCCTGGATTTAGGTCTACTGTTGGGCAGCTCAAAAATCAGAATTGTGTTTCAAACAGCAGGTGCTTACACAAAAGACCCCTGAAATGATATGAAATGATTGGTTTCCCTTTCAAACATCCAAAACAAAGGCCACCTGTTTTTGGAAGCACCCAAATGGATCCCAAAAAGGACATTCTTGCTGAGGTCCGTGTGGGTTTGTCTGTTTTGATCTGTTTAGTACCCGTTTTAGGGTGATTTTAAAGGGGAAGCCAGATAGCCAACCATTTCGAGGATTCATATTGAGACAATCTCATGGTAATTGTTCGGCCCATTTGTGTTGTCGTGTAGACGGAATGGACTTGGAACTCATCAGGCTCGCTTTAAAACATCCCCGAAAAAAGGACAAGCCAAATGGTATCCCCAATAACGCGCGGAACCCTTCAACCCTAGCCTGAAGCCCCTCCGAACCACTCCGGAGCTGAGTTATCTGGACAGAGATCCATGACTTGCAGTATTGGGAAAAGGGGATGCCCTCAAAAGAAGAAACACCCGAGTTCACAGTCTTGTGTATGGTGCTTGAGGGAAACATTGCACACATGTCAGAAGCAAGGAATTGGGGCTGAGTGGAAGAAGGCTCGGTTTGCCAAGGACTTGGTCATGCCAAATGTGTGGTTTCATAGTGCAACGGTCTGTGATGCTTTCCGGAAACCCGACAAAAATCGAGTTTTCAAGTAAGAGGCCACCTCCTCGGGCGGCGGCTGGTGAATTTATGACCATATCCCCTCGTTTAGGAGGAACAGCATCTAAGACTCACTTCTTCAGTTTCGGGCCTCTGGATTTCCTTGGGATGGCCATTTCAGTGGCGAAGAACATGTGTTGATTTGTTTTTGGCCGATCCACTCACAAAGTGCGCCAAAGGACACGTAGTTGTGGAACAAAATGGGGAAGCGTTCGCTCCGGCCTTGCTTTTCTTTTCCTTCAACTATTGGTACCCCCTGTAAACCTTTGTTGCCAAGTTGGAATCGTTGAAACAAGGCTGGTCATTTCCGAAAAAGGGAAGCGCGCATGATGTCCCAAACCCATGTCTGAAAAACCTAATTGTAACTGAGGGACAGACAGTCCCAAACAAACACAAGTGCAAGATCCGCCTTTTTGATTGTGTAACATCGGTTTGTGGTAGACCACTTCAAGCACAAGTTTTCAGTATGAGTCATATGGCTGCCCAAATGGACCCCCCAAAGGGGGGGAGGGTTTTCAATGGAAGACGGAGGAAGCCGACCTGAAATGGCGTCCCGAGCTTGTTGTGATGCATCATGTTAGCGTCAGCATAGAGCCCCCCCACCCACCACACCCCAGACATTATTGAGGGGGTCCTTGTTGAATGAGGGTGCCTTTCTGTCTGGAGGACCGGGGTTATTCATCAAGGGTCCCTTAAGAACCCACTCCTAGATGTTTGTTGGGTAATGGTCCCAACCCAGACCTCATGCAACCGGCGACCATCCCTTGTGTTTTGTCGTGTCTTCCCTGGTATGTGGTTTCGAAAGGTGTTCGTCAGTGGTCAGCATTTCTGAGCTTCAAGTCAACCACTTCCCCAAGGGTGGCATTGTTGTAGCACGGGGCCGGGTTTACAAATCATGCATGTGTCTTTCGGTTGGTGGCTGAATTAATGATCTCCCAACAATGTACCGACATTTTACTGCCGGGAAGATGGTGTCTGGAGTTTATTCACGAATCGTGGAAGAGGCTACTTCTGGTGGGGCCCTTGGTTGCTCCTCTCAACCTGCATTTCGAGGTAGGTTCTTCATGTCCTGTGGTGTGTAGATTGATGCTGCTATGAAGGATATCCTTCAAAGGTGTTCGTTGGCTCGTTCTGCCTTTCCCGAAGTTTGGCCAAATTGATTAAACTGTTGCAATGGAAAGTGTAGTGTAACTTCGTCGCTTCCAAGAAATTGAAAGTTCTGGCGACCAAAAGCGCAAAATTGTGACCTTACCTGTGAAGGTTCCTGAACGGAGCCCATATGTTCGACTGGCACTTATGATTACGGAACCATGACCAAATTGAAATTGGGTCAAAAGAGGCTCGCGTTCCGTCACAGCAGTACCATTTGTGAGTTTAACCAAGATCGACTGTTTTCCAAGCGCGGCAGTTAGTCTCGGGAAAGTCTGTAGAGCAAATTGTGTGCGCTTGTGACTTCCAAAATCCATGCGGATGTCTTGCAGTGGATGAATTGCAAGTTGTAAAATTGTCTAAACTCAGGGAATCTTTGGGAGGTCAGGGCGGGGTCGATGGCATCCGTCAAACAGACATATATAGGCTGATCCCGGGCTTATCATAGGCTAGAACATCCTCATAGACCGCCCCAAGGGCCCATGATAAGCGGTGCGCAGTGATCAGTTGTGGACTGACCATGTCAGGAAGGCCTTGGCGGCATTTACTTTAGATTCCGGAAGCTTGTCTGCACGGCACTGGCATTTGTTGTGGTCGCTTTGTTTTGGATGTGGGCTGTGTGTTGTGAGCTGTTGCTATTGCTGTATGCTGCTGCTACTCTTCGTCCTGCTGCTATTGCTGATGCTGCGTGTGTTGTTGTTCTTGTTCTTGTTTTCGTGATTGTTGGTTCTATGTGGTTGTGGCTGTGGCTGTGGTTGTTGGTCATTGTGGGTTGTCGTTGTTTATTGTGCATTGTTCTGGTTGTCGTTGTCGTTGCTGTTGCTGTTGCTGTTGCTGTTGCTGTTGCTGCTTCCGCACGGACGTGAAGCCGTGGTTGGAGCGCCACCGATCAGTTTTTCAGCATATTGGCACTGTTGCAAATGCTGGTGCACGCACGGTGAAAACTTCGTGTCTAAGCAGCACAACCACCGGACACGGTGAAAACTGCGTTTCCAAGCAGCACAAACAAACGATCTACCGGTATTTACAGCATGTTTACACCGTTGCCCTACACGAATACGGGTGCATGCAGCGTACGGTGTCGACCGCGTTTCCAAACAGCAGAACCCCAGTCAGAACCCCAGTCAGCACATGGTACGCGCACGCTTTCCACGCATTCGAATCACGCAGGTTTCAGGGCCTAAGCTAACTTTTGTTGGCGTTGAGGGCTCACCAGCCATGTACCTTTGCAGCGGGGGCTTCGATCATGAATTGTGTCAATTGGCCAGCTGGGCAGCCAGTAATTCCAGGAGTTGCCACGCGCTGACGGCATGCTGCGTGCACTCGGCGCTCGGTGTGACAGTGCGATTCTCATTTCTCATCGGCTGGTTGTGTCGGAGCGCCCCAAGCCGGCAGGACTTGCTCCTGTAAACGCAGACGGCAGAGGACTGCGCAAGCTGTGAAGGGCCACATGCTGCAGGTGTGATGCCAGGGTCTAGTTGCAGAACACAGGCATTGTCGCAGGCTGAGCAGCTGGTTTGAGAAAGGCTCAGAATACACCGGTCTTTCCTGCATTGACTTCCTATTCAGCTTCTCTGAAAGTGTTAGTTGCTGTTGTTCGCCACGCTGGTTTCCTCTTTGTCTAAATGTGCTTTTAATAGAGGATCCCTGCTGCCGTCCCTCACAAGCCTACGGGTGACTCCTGGAGCGCCATGGCTCAGACTCGGGCAAGCTGCTCAGAAGAAAGTTGAGCTACATGAGCGGCGACCATGCGATTTGCAGGGAGAGAGACTGAGGAGCAGGTGGTTCGTGCCGCAGCCAGAGCTTGGGACACTGGCAAAGTCACACAGCTGGGAAACTTTCAGGCTGCAGCTGCCTTGGCGCAGCAGGAGCAGCAGCAGCAGGGAGCAAGACGCAAAGGCTGCGACTGTGCAGCAGCAAGCTGTTTTAGCGAAGCAGCTGTGCCAGCAGGCAAAGGCTGCAACAACAACGCGGTGCTACAGCAATGTTGAAGCCGAAGCACCCGGCGAAGAACCCGCCGCCGACGCAGAAACCGAAGACCAAAGGTCTGGCTGATTTTGAGAGAGCACAAGTGCTTTTTCAATGCCCCGGCCAGGAAACAGGAAGCGCAGCCGAACCATCAGTTGCCAAGGACCGACTGCATGTTTCGCATTTCTGGGGTCTGCCTGCTGTCTTGCATGGTTGCCGGTTAAATCTTAGGACCTTTGAACCCATATCACCAAAATGTGTTGTGTCCTTGAGCAAGCTTGAAAGGGGGCTACCTTGAATGGGGGAAGATCAAGGGACATCATCATGCAGCGATGAGGCGCGAATCGGCTGCTGCTTGGCTGAGTTCTTTTGCGATCTGCTGACCAGCACCACTGATTGCAAACCAGCTGCTGCTCAACAGCTTGCTGCTGATCAGCATCTGGTTGTGCGCACGCAGATCAGGGCACACAGCCAGCTCGTAGCATGTCATCATAGTCATCAAACCAAGACTTGAGCGCTACGACTTTGGGCATCGCGAACACACAATCAGCTGAACAACACATTCAGCGTCGCAACAGCTTCGCAACAGTCAGCTTCGGCCACGCGCGGCCCACGGGGAAGCGCTTAAGCATGTGCCAGCTGAGGCGGCGTGACAGGAGGGCAACAAGCAGATGACAGTGGCTGCTGTGTTTTGTGTTGGTGTTGGTGTTAGCGTTCGCCTTCGCCTTCGCCTTCTTGTTCGGGTTCGTCTTCGTGCTCATGTTTGTGTTCGTGTTCGTGTTTGTGTTTGTGTGGGTGTGCTTGTGTTTGTGTGTGTGTGTGAGTTGTGTTTGTGTTGCGGTTGCGCGGTGCGTGTGCGTGTGTGAGGGTGTGTCTGTGCTTGTGCTGGTGTGCGTTTATGCTTGTGTGTTTGTATGTGTGTGTGTGTGAGTGTTTGTGTGTGTGTGCGTGTGTTCTGTGTGCTGGTGTACTGTGTGTGTGTGCTGGTGTGCTGTGTTTGTGTGGGTGTTGTGTTGTGCTGTGCTGTGCTGTGCTGTGCTGTGCTGTGCTGTGTTGTGTTGTGTTGTGTTGTGTCATTGTATTGGTGTGTTGGTGTGTTGGTGCGTTGGCGCGTTGGTGCGTTGGTGTGTTTGTGTTTGCGTGTACCCGTTTCACCTTGGCTTGAAGGGTTTTTCAGGGAAGCCAAAGGGAGAACCACCATTTGGTGCATCTCCCCGTTTTTTACAGCCACATTGAGTATGACTCAGCTTAGGAGGAAGCTCGACTGGCGATGTGGCCCAGGCTGGACAAATGAGGATGCGAGCGCACACAGCATTATGTTGCGGCTTTGTGGACGGAGGACAGACCCGCGCTGTAGTGAAAGTTCAACGTACTAGTACATGTTCAAGCCCAACCTATTACCCTTCCAAAACCAAGCATGGAACATAGGGCCCCTGTTAGAAGGAAAGGGTCAAACCGGCCTGCTTTTCGGCCAGTCCCCAAGAGTGCACCCAGTTGTGACACAACTTAGATGCGCCACTGGTTAAATGGGGACATGCGGACATGCACGTTTCGCTTGTATGACGAGAGAGCGAGCGACAGAGAGATAGAGAGAGAGAGAGGGAGGGAGGGAGGGAGGGAGGGAGAGAGAGAGAGTGAGAGAGAGAAAAAAAAGAGAGACAGAGAGACAGAGAGAGCGAACGATGTTTGTGTGTGTGTGCAGAAGTTTTTGAGATAGGTTGTAAGACATACAAATTGCACAGAAAACCCCAGAACCAAAAACACACTTTTGAGGCATACTAAACAGAAGCCCAAAACTATGACCTTCTATTTTTAGGGTTTGGCTCAGTCACACAGAACGAGACAATCCAGTTCAGACAGTGGGGGGGCTTTCATCCAGCCCAGGTCATCGCAGCAATGCCAGATGCGCAGCTGCGTGAACTGTTCCGCCTGACCAGAACACCGCAAGAAAAGTGTGGCGCAAATGAAGCGGTGCTGCTGCTTTAGTCACCCCAGTTGCATTCGCCATGTTTCCTCGTTTTTGGGGAAAGGGTTCCCTTCTTAAAGCCAACCAAGCAACAAACTGGCCTGGCGCGCTTTGCTCTAGAAAGTCCATTTGTTTTTTGTTTTTATTTCTGAGCAACAAAGCGAATTGACCTACGGGATCTGACGTCCAACCTCTCGCGTCAAAGGTGAACGTCTGTTTGGGGAAAGTGAGTCTGGCAACTAGCAACAGCTTGTACAGCGTGGCGCGTTCATGACTCATGGCATCCCGCCTCACCTTAGCCTCGCGCACGTCCAAGTTTCTCCAAGCAAGCCCCCCAGAAGCCTCTCAAGGAAACCGTGATGAGTACGGTACACCAACGTGATGCGGCAGGATTTAGTACTCAGACTATGCTGACAGTCCCAGGCAGCAACGTGCTGCACATGTTTGTCACGTGTATATAAGTGAGGCAGGACCTAGGGGGCCTGCATAGTTGGATCAGTTGGCTTTGCCTGGCGTGGACATGCTCACGCAAGACGGCAACGGGAGGGGCCCGACACATGTCAAATCAACACTTTTGTTGGGAATCGGCGCGTTTCGGGCCTCGTTCCGGGCTTCCTGCGTTTTGCGCCTTCTGGGGTTCCCGCTTGCGTTGCGCTCAAGCAGTGCTTGCAAAAAAAGTCTGTCCCGGACGCTCGTTGCGGTGCCCTCCGCGGCTTAAAACGGCAAGGGGAAGCTGAGAACGAGGCCCGAAACGCGCCAAATCGCTCTGGGTTCCGGCTTCGAATCCCTGCGTTTCGGGCTATGCCAGGGCATAGTTCGAGCCGTAAGAGGTGCGACCTGCCTTCGTTCCCGGAGATCCTGTTTTGTGTTGGACCGCTTTGAGAGGCCAAGCAAAAGTAGATCCTCCCCAACACCACAAGGCACCCAGCCCAAGGTCCAGTGCCTGCGGGACCTTCATCAGAAGGGCCTGGGAGCCATGGCGCGCCCGGCAGAAACCGGGGGGGGGGGGGTTAGACGTAAAGGGAACCTTGGGGGGACTAGTTTGGGGGCAGCTCCGAGAGAGCCCAAAAAGTTCACCCCACAAAATGAAGGGGGAATTCTTGATGAATGGAAGTACTACATAAATGATGGATTTTGGTAGGCTATGGTTTTTGACGTTTGGATCTTGATTTTTGAGATTTGGAGCGTATTGTTGAATGACAAGCATTGAGGGGTCAAGGTGTTGCTCTTGAATTGAAGCCACCAAGGAATGGTGAAAAGAAAGGGGTGCCACCGGTTTAAAGCCCCCGGAACGTGATGAAAAGTCAGCAAGAAAAGGCTGGCCATGGAAAGGTGGTCATATCAGCACTACTTGTTTGGGGTGATTGATTCTGAATGGAAACCTGGGTATGTACCAAAGTAGGAGGACCCCCAATATGGATGTTGATGGTTCCCTTTGAACCAACCCTCGCAAAAGCACAAACCCACCTACCAACAAGTTGGAAAACGGATGACGCAGGTTGATATATCCTGGAAGACCGCCAAAAGGTCAAAGGGCGCCGCCGAGATATTGCTGTGCCAAGGCTTCCCGTGGAGGAAACCTGCTGGGATGGCAAAGTTCGCATGTTGGTTGGGGATGGATACAATCCAAACCTATCCGGGACGGAAATACAACCATCCCGTATGTTTCCGGTGGCAACTTCCATGGTTCCTTGGTTTCGCCGACCGCCGATGAGCTCATGTATGTCTATGTTCAGCTGTGGAGGCAGATAAATTGGAGTTTGCGATGTTTGACCGTGGTCAACATTCTCCACTGCCAAATTTGATTGCTTCGTGATGCCGCGCTGCTTCGACAGTACAATTGGTTGTGGTGAACATGAGTGCCAGCATGAAGAAGTCTGCCAACCTGGTTTGCTTCAGGTTCATGACTCCAAAAAAGAATATGCTACTAGTATTGAGACATCTATTTATATAGACTATATTAGTGAACATAACTGACATACATATACACATATATGCTTTGTGGCCCCTTCACCTCATGGGCAGAGCAGACCTGGAGACTGAAGAAAACAACATGGCGCCAGTACTACGGCCTCATGCCCAAGCTGTTGCAGACAGTTTCCCATGCAGCTCTCATGTTCGCCCTCTATGAGAAGGCCGGAGAGTGGAAGAGTGGCAGAGTGGCAGAGTGGCAGTCATAGCCCCCTTAGTCTCACTCCGTGAGTTCCTGTTGATAATTTTGTGGAAAGAGAGAACTTCAGTGGCAAGCAAGCAGTGACTGTTTGGCCGCACCACTCACGATTCGTCAGTAATATAGGCAACATTGGTAAGGGTTCCTGGTAAGGGGGTCCTGTCCGCGGTTCAAGCAGGTTCTTACAGATGTCACGTGTTGCAATGAATAAGCCCCAGATTCACAGGGGAGTATCCCATTCATGGGGATCGGGATCACGTTTGAAGGCAGCACCCCTATGTATCCGCAAGGTGTTCTGGTAAAATCAGTTTGCGTCAGTTTTGAACGCGGCATGAGTCGAGTGAACTGAGACAGCTTCATGAAGCCATATTTGAGCACCAGCCCACCATTGGTTAAAGAGGGAATCTCATGGCCCACAGGCCACTTGCCGAATTGCCAGATGGGCGATGCCCATGTGAGTTCACCTGGGTCTACGGGGCCGAAATGATGTGCAACTGAAGTGCCTTTCCGTGTTCAGGGTCCTCTACAATACAAAAACCGGTAAATGGATCATTGAGCCAAGTGTGCGATAGGAAGTTATGGGGCTTGGTACATGGTCCCGAAACACGTCCCTTTCTTGTCAGAGGTTGTTGCAATGGCTCCTGTCTCATTGGGCTCGCGGAAAAAAACGGTGTCACCGTCACCAGGAGCATTTAGGATTCTTGTCAGAATCCCCAAGTGAGCGCCCAAAACTGCAAAAAAGCCGATTTGGGAAGGCCAATACCATGTAAGAACCAAAAGTGTGCTCAGGTGTTGGTTACTCAGGGTCCTTTTGTTGGACTCACTCACTGACTTCCTTTGATACTTTTTGGAGGGGCAATTTTAGCGGCTACAATGTTCAGACTGGCCGATCTCGATCGGAAGTGAGAGCACCTTCCCGCTTTTGCCGCCAGATCCACTGGGCCATCCGGAGGATCACGAGGCAGCTTCACAAAGCGCACCAGGGATGGGTGAAACGGTGAAACCCGATTTGGCTATGAACTTTCAATCGGAAGCACAAAGGTGGATGGGTATGAGTCCCACCTAAATGAGATCTGACAAATGGTTCCTTAAAAAATTGTTATTGCCTTTTGGTTACTTCACAAGCTGCGTTTGGCGGATTTTGCTTGTCTACAACATTCCGACTTTGCTGTTTAAATTGGGCTTTTACAAGTTGATTGTGGAGTGGTCGTATCCAAACCGGGGTTTATTGAACCCGACATGGTTTGACTATTATAAATAGGAGCCCCCAAGATTTTTGTGGTGCTCCCAAGAACGGGGGTAACTACTTTGTCAACCCTCCGTGCGAGTTTGTCTGTTTGTTGTGAGTACTCCAAATTGGGCCTCATTTGCTGATGTTTCCCTTTCAAGCATCCAAAGAAGGCTAACTTCCAATTGGCCCAAAAGGAATGTGTCAAGCCACCGAAAGGAAAAACGAAGGGCACCTTGAGATTTGGCCTTCTCCTCTTCACCCACCGCTGGTTGATACGAAGACAGGCACAAATTGGCCAACATCTTGTCAGGCGGGGTGTCTCACAACTTCGCAAAATGAAGCGCTTGAAAGCATGAGGGGGATACCAGGATTGATTCAAAAAGCAGTCGATATCCAAACATGAATTCAAAATATTGTGTATGTAGTAATTAGGATAGGAAAATACTAAACCTACCTACAAACATACGTACATACATGCATACATACATACATGCATACATATACATACACGCATGACATACATAGCATAGCACAACAGTAGCATAGCACAACATGGCATAACATAGCATAGTATAGCATAGCATAACATACATAATTTGAATGTATAATATATATATATATAGCTGAATTAACAAAGAAAGAACATACATAATTCGGAAAAATGGATAGGTTTGTATTTGGGAGGTGGGGAGTGGATGAGTGTGGTTTGTCGTTAGTTTAGACTTGTTTATAGGCGAAATCATAATGTTGGTATGTTTGGCAAATGGTAATATACATTATATGATTTATTGGAATGAATTTATATATTTAAATTTATATAATTTAATTAATGTATTTATATATTAATAATTTAATATGTTAATTAATAATATAAATAATTATAATTTGAATAAATTTATATATTTATTATTATATATATTCTTTTAAAATAATAATTTAAACCACATCTTAATTTTGTAGGCTAGTATATGACTTTTGTTGGAGCTTATGAAATATATTATTTATTAATTCTTGAATAAATAATTTGGTGGGCTCCTATAAATTTTATAATCTTCTTGGTATTTTTTTGTGTGGTTGGTCTTGGATATAGTGATTACGAACGATTGAATTACGAAAATATGGATAAATTAGATATTGAGGGAACATAATTCTTTTAATCTTTTATTTATATAATGAATAAAACATATTTTTTGTATTTTGGGATTATATAGGCTTAATTTAAAATGTAAATTGTAGAGAAATTATTATTTAGGTGAAAGGTATTGGTAGGCGGTATAATGAATTAGTTATTATGTATGTGGTTTTATCTTCTGCTTTCGATAAATATTTTAATTATTTAGAATATATAAAAAAAACCTTTATAATTATTGCCTTTAATTTGTGTTAACTGCAAATATCATTCCTCATACTGCGAAGAATGTATTTTTTGGATTAAGATTCTCGGTCTTTTTTATGTGTTTAATTCGGATTCGTTTTCGGAACGAAATAATATAATTTCCATGCCGAAAATAACATTAAAATATCAATAAATAAAATTTTATTTCCTAATTTTATTTTATTATTAATATATCCTCGAATAGGTCGATTTAAATATTTTAATTATATTGCCTAGTATAATAAAATAAAAATTATTATAAATATAGTTTTTAAGATTTTTATATTTAATATTCGCCAAAAAAATCGTATTTCGGCAAGCCATTACAATTGTATTCCGGCCAAATTTAATATTTATAACGAATAATTATATAGCTTCCGATTTTTTCTCTGTAACACAAATTCCCATCTTTTTGTATAACCCGAAACAAAACCGATTGTTTATCAAAATGTTCGAAAAAATCTTAATAATTTGGTTTCGAATTCCCGTAATAAAACCTAACCAAAATTTGCCAAATTTTGGATCGCTTCTAACGATATGTGCTCCCAATCTATTTCCATATATCCATATTTATTAATTTATATAATCTCTATTTTTCTTTATCTATTTTTATATATTTCTTTTTATCCCAATCTATCTCTTTTCGATATTTATATTTCTATTTTTCGGCTTTATTTATCTCCATATATTCGTATTTATTATTCGTTTTTATTTCTTTATGTTTTTTATATTTCTCTATCTATTTCCATATATTCGTGTTTATTTAATAATGCCTGTTTATGTCTATTTCTATATTTATCTTTCTAATTATTTAGAATTATTTTTATAAATCAATTTTCAAAAATAATATATTTGTATATTATTATATGTTATATCTTCCTTATAAAAATCATATCCTTTAATTTTCATATTATATACCCCCAAAAAAAATCATTCATCTAAATCTATCCACTAAAATTCCCATAGACAAGTCTTCAGAATCGGAGCGATATTAGTGTTAATAAATGTTCAAGCTCCATTTATTATTCCTTTAATTTAATCTTTCTTTTAGCTTCTAATTATTCTATCATTGTTTTTGTTTACTTGTCTATTTCCCTCTTTTTCTGTGTTTCTGTCTTTCTCTTTCTTTCTTTTTCTTTCTTTTTCTTTCTCTTTCTTTCTCTTTCTTTCTTTTTCTTTCTCTCTCTTTCTTTCTCTTTCTCTTTCTTTCTCTTTCTTTCTCTTTCTTTCTCTTTCTTTCTCTTTCTTTCTCTTTCTTTCTCTTTCTTTCTCTTTCTCTTTCTTTCTCTCTTTTTTTGTTTTCTCTTTTTCTCTCTTTATCTCTTTCTTTCTCTTTTTCTCTCTCTTTTTCTCTCTTTATCTCTTTCTTTCTCTCATTCTCTCTCTGTTCCTTCTCTCTCTCTCTCTCTCTCTCTCTCTCTCTCTCTCTCTCTCTCTCTCTCTCTCTCTCTCTCTCTCTCTCTCTCTCTCTCTCTCTCTCTCTCTCTGTCCCTTTCTCTCTAAGAGAGAGAGAAAGAAAAAAAGAAGAAAGGCTTCTCTCTCTCTTTCTCTCTCTTTCTCTCTCTTTATCTTTCTCTCTCTCCCTGGTGCCGCTTTATCGCCCACAGGATGAGGGACAATTTGCCTAGGTCCTATTGGGGCATCGACTGGTCTCTCCCGGGGCCGGAGGCACCCTTGGGGGGAGCCATTGCCTCCACTTCGAGCATTTCCGTCAGTAGCAATTCTTCCTGCTATGAGTCTCTCGCTCTCTCTCTCTTTCTCTCTTTCTTTCTATCTCTCTCTCTTTCTCCTTTTCTCTCTCTTTTCTCTTTCTTGCTTTCTTTTTTTCTTTTTTGTTTTCCTGTTTTTTTTTGGGTTTTCTCTCTCTGTCTCTCTTTTTAAGAATATATATATATATATATTATTTTGTTCTTTCCCTCTGTCTCTTTCTTCTTCCCTTGTCTCTCTCTCTCTTTCTCTCTCTTTTTTTCCTTCCTCTTTGTTTTTTGGTTAGTATTGTCGTTAATGGGATTAACGGGTGTTCTCTAGTTATAACATAAAAATATAGATTTATATTATTAGCTTTTTTTATTCTACTCAAAAATGTTATTCAAAAACATATATTACTAAGACATATTGTAAATCCTATAATATAGCAAACAATTCAACCCAAAGCTTCAAATCAAGATACTCAAATATAAACATATATATTATATATTATTTAAGTAATATCAATTTAACAATTAAACTTATTCCAAATCCAAATTCTAATAATTATTTGAGTAGCGCCCAAAATCCATTAAATGTTGATGTTATTAATAACATTATGAAGGTGTATATAGGTTTTGCAAACCCAATTGCCCAATTGGATGCTAACATGGCCAGGTGTTGCCCGCTCATACAGGATATCATCGCTTTTGACCCATAAGGCGGAAATCGCGGAGGCCAAGCTCCAAAGAACTGTCTGAAGGCTCCTCTTTGTCTCAAGGCAAAGTGGAACTGCAGAAGGGGGCGCGTCTTTCTTGGATACCTATTTTCAGGTTGGTTTACAGGGGAAACGAAACAGGAAAGCCACCACGGTCCCTGATTTGACAGATACCAATGTGCAATTCGGTGTGTTGTCAAAGTGCAGTTAACCTTTTGCAGAGAAGCCCTCGGGACGCACACAATTTGCATCACCCAAGAAACCCTGGAATGATGATTCCTCTGCGAATACCAACAAGGAATGGTTTCCCATAGTTTCAAATTTGGACCATCCACAGATGTCCCTTTCCGGGTGCTGTTAATCACCATTTGGTTGCCAACTTGAAAAATGTGATTCCCTTTTGGCGGGGCGATGTTTCAAAAGGAATGAGGAATCCTGACAGCCAAGACAATGAGGTAAGGCTTCAGTCGAAGGCTAGGCCTCCAGGAATCGCGCCGAAACATCACACTTTGCTCCTTGCTTGGTCGTTAAGATCTGCTGGAAAAAGGGAAAAAGCTGGGGAAACAGCAATTTGTCCAAAACAACTGAAGTTTGTGGGGGACGTAAATCCGCGTGTTTTCCACTGATGTCCAGCGAAGGGTCCAACCAAATAAAATCTAAACCAAAAGTATCCAGGCCCAAAGGTGTACCAAAAGGTTGATACAGACAGCAAAACTAAAGGCGCACCAAGTCAAGTAGCTTAGCCCGTCTTCTGCTTCTTGCTCTGTGGCTCAACTTTATCAGCCACAATTTGCCGGATGTGTTCCTTAAGCTCGTCGTAGTTGTTGACGACTGGGATCTCCTAAGCGAAGCTAAGACCAGCCCAAATTTGTGTCTGGGCTAGGACTGCGTGCCTTTAGCCCGTCAAAGGCCAGCGGCCAGGTAGAGGGTTGAAAGTTGATTGAAATCAAGAAACTGCTTGGATTGGAAACGGGGTTCCCCTATGTTGAGACTGTCACCAGCGCCGGTCATGCCGGTCATGGTCATGGTGCTCGTAACAGAAACCTGGTCCAAGCTGCCCGAATTCCCTAAGCGGTCCACGACCATCCGCAAACCCAAGGTGTCAACTGACCATGGCACATCTGGTTTCCAACCCCGGATAACTTCCTGTAAGCTTCACGACAAAAGCAATGACAGATCCCGAACCAAAAACGGGACCCCGGTGCCATCGTCACAACTCCAAATCGGCCATGGTCATGGTTCCGGTCGAGCGAACCCTGCAATTGGCTGTCTAAAGTATTCAGTTTTCCAACCAGCCCCCAGTTCAGACGACGTTTGACCGTGGCACACCTTTTTCGGATGCTGTTTGAAGGGAAAAATGACAGCCAAACTGGCGTGGACGATGCAGCATCCCGAACTGATGTGGAAAATACGCTCTTGCATCCCCTACAGTGATGTAGAGAATCCCCAAACTGGCTAACCTACCCCGTATAATAAGTTTCAAGGGGCATCATTTAGTTGATGAACGCCCCCTCCAAAGCACGCAGATACTACTCGAAGATGTGCGTAGACGTGAAAAGAAAAACATCGACCAGCATGTGCACGGTTGTCAAAGATGCGCGTGGTGGTGAATGCGCCCATTTGTGCCAGCATGTGTGCAGCGGTCAACGATGCTCGTGGGTGTGAAACGTCGTATCAAAATGAACAAGTGCTGAATTCACCACGGCCATCGGCACGCCGTGGTCCAATTACTATACTTCACTCAACTGAATGATGGAATCCCAAGGTGACGTTCATGGGCCTCAGAATCGCTCAATTTATCTCGATGAGTGAGCTTCGATGAGTGGGGTATACACCTTATAGTATCGTGTGGTTCATCGGTTTGTGTCGGAAAGCCCCACACTTGCTGGTCTCCTTTGGTGTCCCTAGAAAATTACGGCAACAAAACAAGGGCAACCTCAAAAAGTGAAGCCATTGTCTGCCTAAAGAATCTAACTTGGGTCAACCACCGTTATTTATTTGTTTCTTTATTTGTTTATTTATGTATTTATTTATTTTTATGCGGTTGAAGCCTAGGGTAGTGGCTTCAACCTGAACGCAGGCCCCTGCAACCACCGAAGCCAAGACGCTGGGTGCTCCTTTTTGATGGCCTCCGAAGGCCGATATAGCACCCCCTTCTCTGCGGCATGAAGCCTGCAACAGGCACAAAAAAACACTCCAGAAAAAACAGATCGCCTCTGGAAGTATTGGCTATGTGGATTCCATGTCACTTTGCAGAAAAGTAGCCTGTGCCCAATAGAAATGGACAAGCTCGAGTCCTCTAGTGATGGTGCCCATTGCAACAATTGCCTCACGCACCTCCCTGCTGATGCGTTGTTAAACCAGACTGATGACCACAAAAGAGGACAGGAGCGTTGACGCACTGCATATGTGCAATGGTGAAGACATCCTAATCATTCTCCAGAATCTTACTGAAGGGGTCCATGACCATCCTTGCCTGGTTACCAGCTAAAAAGAGTATTTTGACCAAGCCGCACAAAATATGGAGTCTCCAAACGGAGGAACCCGAAGAATCTGCATTTCCCGGCAAAGGGCATGCCGGCATTTAGGGTTTCGCCCCCTACAAATGGCTTCGGTCAATCCAAGGGAGACTCAGCTTGAACTGACCGAAAAGGTAATGTGTACACCCAGCCTTTAGGACAGGAAGCGATCCTGCATTCGGCCGAGGCACATGTCTATGTCGTTGAAGGAGTTGCCCACCGCCATGATGCGGAAGTTCAAACGCTGCAACTCCTGCACCGTCTTCAGCTTCTGCCCCTTCAGCCGGGTTATGAGCCTCGGACCAAGAGTCACAACCAGCCGCTTCTATCAAAACTCAAAAGGGCACATGTGAGTGCGTTTATGTGTCTGTGTTCTGTGTGTGCTTGTGTGTCTACCGTTGGTACCCTTTTTGGCACCTTTTGGTGGGTTGTTGCATGTCAGTTGTATGTCGGGAACGAATAGAAACCACAAGCCGCTCTGGGGATTCAGTACCCCATTCAGAGACCCCTTGTTCAGTTGAGCTGCCTCTTCATAAAGCCTTCGTCATCTGCCTCAAAAAAGTTGCAGAAGACCATGGGATGACCAAGCTGATCGAAGATGGGCAACGCATATTCCTTGGCACGAGCAGTGTCAGTGTCTGAGACGCGAGCAGTGAGAGCTTTGGACCTCAAGGGCCAATTGACATTCTCAAGGCTACCCCTTCTTTTCACTCCTGGCTGGCACATTCTGCCCTAGGCTCCCTGGAAAGAATGCAAGGCCTTCGTTTGACCTTTGACCTATGACCATGAGGCCCTGGGATGCAAGCCCGAGGCCTTGCAGTTTTGGACCCCGCGACCTCCAAATTCCGCTGCGGTGCTTCGGGCCCATCGGTGATCATGAAGGTTCGGGGCACGATGGGCTTCCTTGGATCGCACGGGAAAAGTCAACTCGGAAGTTTCATTGAGGTGACGTCCAAAAATGGACATAAATCCCCAACATGATGTCCACTGGGTCCCCAAAGGAATCGAGCCCATCTGGTACCCCTCCATCAACACACATAGCGGACAAACCCACCAGCACACCTCACTTCGTTGCAAGGCTCCATTGGACGGTCAACCTACTTAATAAGTTGAACTTTATCATTCGTCCACCAACCCGTGTTGTCCCGCCAATAGCCATGGTTCTAACCAAACTACTAACCCCCTACCAAATGTTGAGCAGTCAAGTAGGGTTGGCTACAAGTGCACACTTTCATGTCGGTTCATCCCCCCCTTCTTCTTCTTCCCACCCCAGAAGGGGGGCTAAAAAGCAACTGGGGAATGTCTTTCCCAACTTTGGGGGGCAAAGCCCTCAAAGACCGTGCAACTCGTAGGTTTTCTCCTAAGTGTTGTTCCCCTCCCATCAAGGGAAGTTGAAGGACACGCTGTAGGATTTCACCCTTCTCGGAATGGGATCTGAGAGCAGGTTGGGTCTTTGTTGATTTTGCCGCCATGAAGAATCATGAGCACTTGAAAGCAACCTAAAAAGGGTGCCCTGGTGCCCTTTGCTTGGTGTACAACCCATCTTGGGCTAGAAAAGCCTACCCGCCTGACATCCCCCCCACTTCTTGTTGTGTTGTCCTTGCCACCACAGCTCTACTTGCATGTCTTGATTTTCGTGATTCCCCAAACTGCGAAGCATTGGGGTTCTAACTTGAGGTATAGAGAATAGGAAAGCGTGAAGCCGATTCCGGGGTCCTGTCTTCCGCTTGTCTTCCTGTCTCCCAGTCTCTCCGGTCAGATGCCAGATTCTGTGACTGGCTCCAGATCGACTCCGACCCGTTCAAGCAAAAGGTTTCGGTGCTGCTGGACACTCTGCGAGCGTGGCGAACTCCCCAGCAACATTGCGGAATGGCGGCTCTGGTGCTCAATGTGGTGATTGCAACAAGGACACGCGGTCATGGCCATGTTTCGACATGTTCGGTGGCTGCATAATCTAATAAGAGTTGCTAACGCCGCCACCGTGTTTGATGGTTTCTTTTTGGGGCCATCAACAAGAGCCGTTTCGCCAAGCGCAGAGTGGCTTGGTGGTTTCCTGGTTACTTGCTCTTGGAGAGGGACGAGCGAACACACAGTCAAGCAGGCGTGCTTATCATCTTGTTGCATCGTAAGGGGGGGTCCGAGCTTCAAGGATTTTTCTGACCGGTTTCCAGAAAGAATGGTCCTGGAGGTAAAGCCTGGGCGAGTCGGGCCCCCAACCAAACCATTAGGCTTGTAAGAGTTGTTCGCATCGTCCCGAGCCTTTTCCTGGCAACCTACTTCGCTTGACAACTTGGAAAGAGTTCATGAACCCGGCCAGTTGATTACTGTGCTGCTGGAGCTGAGTAACTCCAAGATGAACCCGGCCAAGCTGGTGGTGTCCACTGTGCAGCCAGCATTGGTAAGTTGGGGCAAAGTTCTCACACGTTTCCGCGATGGAGCAGGGCTGGAGCTGACATTCAAAGCCAAGCTTGTTCCGAAATGGAGCGGCGTTGGGCGCATGGAGCAAAGCCATGCGTTGGCCATCTTGGGAGCATGCGGCGCGCTGGACACGACAGAGATGAAGACCCTGGATGACCAAGCTACTGCCGGCTCAAACACTGAGGATTTTCTGGAGCTGCGCCGGGTGACAGAGGCGCGCGCCAAACGGGCACCTTTGCTGACGCTTGCGAATTTGGCGCGGCGTGTGTCTGCGTTGCTAGGCGAGGATGTCCCGGCCGTAACGCTACAAGCAACACATAGTTACAATCAGTCCATGTATGTCCCTGCAGGAAGTGCCCTTCTTTGGGAAGAGGACACATCGGGTCCATCCATCTCCTTGACGCCGGGTAAAAGCATCGATGTTGTTCATCGACTTCGAGGAGAAAATTCCATGTCAATGCCATGTTCGAGAGTGAAGGCCCCGGGGATTCGGGGTGAATCAACCTAACACCTGGCATTAATCAAAGGAAGTTTCGAAGGAACTTTCGTAGTACGGACACTCAATGCACTTTTCCATCACCGCAGCATTTGGTGGCCGTCTCGCTACTCTGCTGAAACTTGCGCATCAGTCTCAGCAGGTCTTGCCACAAGCGAAGCAAGAGAGCGCTTGCATAAACTTGCAGACTGCGCCATAAGCTACACAAGTCCGCACCTTACATGAAGGAGACAAGCCCTTGTTTGGGCTATACAGACCGGTCATGTTTTTTTGCTGTTTGGGGTCGAGGCTGGTGTAATTTTATTGATCTTCCTGACATTCGTCAGATTGATGGGCTGCAAATTCTCTATGTTCAATCCTTCGAAGCTTCATTCTATTCTCCTCCTTCTGAAGATGTCACCCCCTCCAAGTCGAAGTGAGTTCTTCACCTCCATCGTCTTCGTCTACGCTGAATGACTCCCTAACCCAAAGCTGGCAAAGGCCAACGAGGCACAGCCACTCGAGGAACTGCGTGGCACCCAGTGAGAGCTCCAGGCCGTCCATGATGTCGACCTGAAGGAAATGGAGCCCATAGGTGTGTGTGTGTGTGTGTGTCTGTGTGTCTGTGTGTCTGTGTGTCGGTGTGTCTGTGTGTC